CCAACACGCACGGACCGCTAGACTAGAGACCAAACACACCCACGAAATAGCCAAGCTTTATTCAAATATGAACAAACACAGGCTGCGATGGAGACAAACCTGAAACGAGTTCTTCAGGTCCTACAAAAAGAAAGGGAATAGTCTGCTGAAAAAACCAAGAGGCCGTCCAAGCACTGGGATGACCATTCCCTAACCAGGATACCTCGCCGTCCACACAACCGACTGACCCAACCGGAGATACAAGACGACGACCTGATCCGAAACAGAGAACCTGCCCCGGTCTTTGAGCGCTTCGGAGACACGCCTTGATGGAACACGACGAATGAACACACGAAGCAGAACCAACAGAAACTCTAACCACTCACGAAGAGAGAAGAGCACACTCGACCAGATTCATGAGAGAGGAAAGCAAAAGGAGAGCAAATTCAGGTGACAGAGACGAGAAAGCCATAGACGACAAACCCTAATCACGCCACAGAAAATGCAGACGCAAACCCACAGAAGAAACGATAGTCACACGACCACCCATATCCTGTGCACGAACCGACAGACAACAGTACATGCCGTCTCCCTTGAGCAGAAGCAAACCGCCTGAAGACACCAGACCCCTAGCGCCGGCAAGACGAATAGCATAACGCACCTCTCCACGCAAAGATAAACTTCGGATTCAGACCAACGAGACCAAGGAGAGAGCAAACCAACACAACACGCGCCTCCACCGCACAAACACCTCGCTAGATCTAAAAAGGAGAAAATTAGATCGAAGAGGATATTTACCCTAAAAGCCGACTACGCACACCCACTCGCCACACCGCCTCACTGAATCTCCAGAACGGAGGCCACCAGCCTCGGATCTACAACCCCCCGGAGCAGTTGCAGAGGAACCCATGGCGGAGCACGACCCAGAGGCCCAAGCATATCGACGGCATAGACAGAGAAGGATGAAACGGAGCAAAAAGAAAAGAGGGAGAGGAGAGGAAAAAGCCTCCGGAGACCACGCGCGTCACCGCAGGTCGCCGGAGCAAGGTGGTCCAAAAGTTTCGAAGGTCGGAAGAGAGAAGGAGGAGAAAAGTTTTTGAGAGAGAGAGTTCCACCAGTTGTTTCTAGTTTAGCATTGCTCCATATCTTGAAGCCATTAAGTTTCGCCAAAAGATCCAAGGAGGGCTTCCCTTTTTTTTTTTTTTTTTTTTTGGTTTGCCATCCTAAACCTGTTTATCTTTCTCGATTATTGTTTAAGTTTAACTATGGCATTTGAGTTCTACATGCATGCAATTGCACTCAGACTGTTTTCCTATCAAATCTGCATACGTAAAATCATATTCCATTAATGTCCATGCATACAGGAGATGGTCAATAACGTAAATTGACTCTGCGGCTGAGTTTTATTTACAAATTTAACTATTGAATAAAACTTGCTTAACATATGTTAATATCATCTAATTGACTAAAATGAAAGAAAGAGTTTATGATTTCAGATCTAGAGTTTATTTCTAAATTGTAATAGATAGTTCTATGATCATTAACCAAACATCCACAAAAAAAAACAATAATGCAAGTTAAATGTAAGTTAAATCGATATAACAAAATATTTTTGTTGTTGTTGTGAACAAACACCAATCAAATAGGAAAAAAAATCACTAAACTAATATGCGAACTTCTTGCTTCTTATTTTTAATAACATAACTAAATGTGTACCTTTTTTTTTTTTTACTAAAGATTATTCCGTATTTTTTGATTCGTTTGTTTTTCGAGTACTATATCGAGTTGCCTTATGAATGTACATACCACTTGATCTAGTGATGGGCTAATCACATGCTTTACAATCCTCATGATTGCAAGCCCTGCAATCTCTCCGATCCAAATGGTCATTTTCATATATTTTCATCATGATTTATCGATATTTAAATATTTACATGATTACGCGAGGACCTAAAAGGAAGCAATTATATGAGTATTATAGGAACTTTGGTATAGAAAGCTATTTGTTCGTTTTCTTAGTTTTATTTTGTGTTTTCATATAGCTATCCCAATGCTTTTATGATTAGTAGCATGAACTTGAACATGCTCTTTTTTGGTCTAAATGTTAAGTTGAACATGCTCTTTATCCACGAGAGGAAGTAATTAAACTACATATGCATCGTATGATATTATCGTGCATTATTGTTGTCAATTATTGTTGTCACTTGACAGTGTTCTTTTTCAAGTTAATATTTGATTATTTTGTAAAAAATGAGAAATATCTTTTTTAAAATTTGGCTAAGTCCTCACATGATTAGAATATAATTAGTCGTATATTTTTGTATTATTCGGATATATAAGCATAATTCAATCATGAATGTATTATTATTCTCTAGTAACTTTATCCTCGCTCTCATTTAAAATACTAGGGGGCTTTCCCCCGCGCAAGCGCGGAGTGCTGAAACGCTTATAAGATTCTGGATTTATGTGTTGTATGAAGTCGAAGTGTGTCCAATGACGTACAACCTTAATGTATTCATGCTTGAATTATACCAGTTGATTGTTTTCTAATGTGTAAACATCTGTACAGGGTCCTTTATTAAAAATGTCGCCAAGTTGGAGCTTGGTTGTAGCAAATTTAAAAACAAAAAGCCAAACATGGAAATTAAAAATAAAAGGAAAACAGTTACTGTACAGTTTGTATGTACGAATATAAATCTTAGTCAGTTTGCTACACTTTCAACTTTCACTCGCGGTAGCGTTTGCAACTCTTCTCTTTCCCTCCAAGGCTGAGTGGTGTTGGTTGATCCACTGCTATCATTTTTGTAGCTGCATCTACCGGATCGCTTGCAGAAATAGATGGTTTTTCACTTTGGGTTACCACTTGTAGAGCTATGTTGTTACTTTCACCCTGATGCGAATATAAAGCTTTTTCTAGATCACCTCCATCGAGGTTGTTATTGAGAAGATATCAATAGGTACTTGATAAAATGATATAGTTCTCGGAAGAAAGTAGAATATAGTTATAGTAAACTGGTCGGTGGACTTGGAAACGTGTATGTAGAGATCCCCCCAATTAATAAAGATTCTTGCTTTTGAATCTCTCCCATTGTCTCGACATGCGGGAAATCCTAAGCAGCTGCACCTCCCAAAATGAAGATGACTCACTTTTTTGGTAAAATCATTACGAAGACATATTTAATGTGAATGCCCATATAGATAGTTAACAGACCCATGTTAAATTAATTGCAATATGGGCAGACATGAAGGTTGGAAAACAAAATAAAGCATAAAACCATATGTAATTCATTTTTACTTAAATGATTGGTCATGTATTTTAGAGTGAGACTTGCGACATACCTATTGATGAAAGCTTGGCTGGCGTAAATGTTCAAGTCAAAATATAACTTGGATGACCATACCTCCCAATAACTTTGAGACTAACCGTTACAGAGTGTGTATATTGCACAAGCTCAGATGCCCCCTAAAAGTTGCGACTGCGGCATCCCTAGTGACACATACACAACGATAGAACTGAAGGGAGATATGATAGAGATGATTTTTTTTAGGTTCAAATAACTGTTCAAGCCATGCAGATAAGGGAAATGTGATTACCTGAGAGGTCTGACCAAGGCGGGATTGTCAAAGGTTGTGAGTTGAGCAGTAAGGGACGTATTGCCCAAATCATTGGTCCGGTACTGGATGTAGTCTTTCCCCCGGGCTTGAACAATAATTCTATCTGAGGCAGCCATTTGCAGAGGAGTGGTTTAGGGTTCGCAGGAAGAGAAACTCAGATGTAAGAGCAAGAAAATAGTGTCAGCTTTAAAACAACACAAGCATTCGAAGAGGTCACTGGATGTTTTTCTACAGCCTTTGATAAAAGAATTGAAGGAATTATGGTCAATAAGCATGCAAACATATGATTGTTCAACAAAAACAAACTTTATAATGCGAGCAGTTCTTTTGTGGACCATTAGTGACTTTTCTGCATACGGGTTGTTGTCAGGTTGGACGACGCATGGGAGGTTATCTTGTCCTTATTGTATGGGAAGCACAGACGCATTTCAGCTAAAGCATGGTAGGAAGACGCCCTAGTTTGATTGTCATCGAATATTTCTTCCCATTAACCATCCGTACCGAAGGAATAAGAAATTGCTCCGGTCAAAAAGGGTTGTACGGGATACCACTCCACCATATTTATCTGGAGAAGAAATTGAAAAAGATATTGATTACTATGGAGGACTAGACACAATCACAGAGGGGGTAACTGACATACTCTTGCAAATATGCCTGATGGTTACGGGACACAACATAATTGACACAAAAGTATATTTTGAGAATTTTCATATTGGAAAGATCTACTTCTGCACCACAATCTTGATATGGTGCACATACAAAAGAATTTCTTTGAAAACATCATCAATACTTTGTTGAACCTCTCTGGGAAGACGAAAGAGAACAAGAACTCAAGGTTGGATTTGCCTGCATTATGTTCTAGGGTTGAGTTGCATCTAACCGATGGGAAAATTCTGGTTCCCATATTCAGATTGTCAGTAGCAGCAAAAGCGGCATTGTTCAAATGGGTGGCATCAGATGTGAAGTTTTCAGATAGATATGTTTCAAATCTATGAAAATGTGTTGATCAGCAGGGACAAAAGTTTTCAGGGATGAAGAGTCATAACTGTCATGTGTTTATGCAACGACTTCTACCTTTTCCATTTGCGGAGTTGCTTCCAAAAAATGTTCGCAAATCACTTGTAGGTAATAATTAAATAATTAATCGAAGTTATTGTTACTTTTTGTTGGAAAAAAACTTTAAAATATTTTTTACGTTGGCTTGTACATTATTTGTAGGCATTGAAGCTTTTTTCAGAGATCTTAGCGCAGACACCTTAACTGAAAATGTAATCAGACAGCTTGATGAGAATATCCTGATCTTGATGTGTAATTTGGAAAAAAATTTCCTCTGACTTTTTTTGACGTCATGGAGCATCTTGTTATCCACTTTCCGTATGAGGCACTGCTTCGTGGACCTGTTCATAATAAATGGATGTATCCATACGAACGAGCCATGAAACATTTAAAAGGGAAAGCAAAAAATATTCGTCGAGTAAGTAGTTTTATTTTGTCATAAAATTATACCACACATATATACTCCTTAATGATCATTTTATTTTAAAAAATGATTTCGTTGCCCAAGTCGAGGAACCTATACGAGGGATATTAACCAATGATCTCAACAAAAGGAAAGACCAACACTTTGTAAAGTGGTTAAAACGCATGTATACATCACAATATAAGTAATTAATTAAGTTATATATTTAATGAAGTTATATATATATATATATATATATATATATATATATATATATATATATTTATCTGTATATGTTGATGATGCAGGTTGATTATGATGACCCATTTTATCCTCCGTGGTTACACGAATTGATACAAGGTCCGGTCGCTAAGGTCACCACATCATCTATGTATTTCACACGTGGTTACACTTTTCACACTTACGAATATGGAAGCCGGCAAACAACAATGAACTATGGAGTATGTGTGAAAGGTGAAACATATTTCTATGGAATCTTATTTCCAATATGAAAATTCCCCGGCATGAAGCTGAAAATGCGTTCTCTTCAAATGTGACTGGTTTGAACCCACCGTCAATAGAGGTGTCAGGTATAGCAAGTTTGGTGTTGTTGATATAAATGCTATACAGAGGTACACCATATTTGAACCCTACATATTGACTTCTCAAGCAGACCAAGTTTGTTTTATTCCTTACCCAAGGATCAGACAATTTGGAAGTTCTTGGTTAGCCACTATAAAAGTTACACCTCAGGGCCGAGTATTGACTGATGTAATTTACAAGAAGATGCCGTAAGTGAAGTAGAAGTACCTGAGCAAGCTATTGATGATATCCTA